TGGTGCCTCTATCCATAGGAGCCCATCAGAAATACTTTATGAACCACAGTAGGTAACACTCAGCCACTAGAGATGGCACAGTGGAAGATAAATCTCACTGCAGGAGGAATGTTTTTTTCCTGAATGCTGAGAAAAGCTTTTTATAAATGAAGAATAACTATCTTTTACTCCCTATATCAGTCTGAACTTGGAGTAAGCAGGGATTTAATTTTTTATAGCATTGTTATTTGTGAAGAGGAATTTAAAGAAAACTGCTAGTGACATGCAGAAAAGGATTCCATTCAAATACAGAAAATGTTTCACCTTCAATACATTCCAGATTGGCCATCTCCCCACATCCTGTGTTTCTGAATTAGATGACAAACTCACTGGGACACAAGCCACATCTTATACTTGTGTTTAGCTCTGAGCAAATGACTGCAAATCATAATTCTTGGGATATAATTCTAATCATTGACAGTAACTGCAGAAACATCCATTATTGGATGCTCCAGCACTCATTTCTTTCCCTTCAAGAATACGTTTTTCTCGGTAAACAAAAGGTAAATCTCAGCACTGCTAAACTCTGCTTAGTTCCAGAGACTCAAGCTATACATTATATGCCTTATGTGATGCATGAGCTTAGTCTTCTTAAGTAATTTACCAACAATTTCTGTCTAATACACATCTGTCCAGTGTGCCAGGGAGGATCCTGTTGCAGCACAGATACCACTGCTGAGGAGGGAACAGTCTTTTAAATTCCCCATACTGGAATGAGATTTTTCTTTCTTCCTGCACACTACACACATTGCAACCTCAGAATAATTTAAGTAGAAGTGTCTGCTGGGACTTGTGTCTGGTGAATGTAACTCTTCTTGTAGAATTATTACCCTGTTGTACAGGGCATAAAATTCAACACTTCTGTGCTGTTCTTTATTGGTACCTCAGCTGCCAGCTGAGAGTGGCCTAACTTGCCTTCTTCCTCCTGAGCTCCCCATGGCTGTGGAGGAAAGCAGTGACCCTGGAGAGCAGAGCCCCATTTCCATTCTGCAGAGGCCCAGAAAACAAGATGTCATACTTCACAATGCTGAGGGCAGCCTGTAAAAAGAAACAGAATTTGCACATTTCATAGACTCACAGAATGATTTGGGTTGAAAGGGACCATGAAGATCACCTTGTTCCACCCCCTGCCATGGGCAGGGACACCTTCCACCAGCCCAGGTTGCTCCAAGCCCCGTCCAACCTGGCCTTGGACACTTCCAGGGATGGAGCAGCCACAGCTTCTCTGGGCAACCTGTGCCAGGGCCTCACCACCCTCATCATAAAAAATTTCTTCTTTAGATCTTTGAGGTAGATCTTTCCTTGTATCTTCCTTATGTCTTTGTGACCCTTTTAACAGACCTCCAGCTTTCAGGATAGAATGTCTGTATGGCAGCTTCCTTCAGCCTAAGTCTGCATTTGCACAGGGTTAAAGATTAAGCTTTATGTCATAATTTTTTTCCATGTGAAAAAAATTGCTGTTGTAGGTTAGATTTTACTTTATCATTTTTTATGTTTTCCAGTATACAGTCAGAAATATTTAAAAATCACTTTCTTCTCCTGTTCCGGGAGTGGATAAAACTTTTCCCCACTATTGCAGGGCTACTACCTGTGTCACTGTGACAGATATTTTTATGTTCTCAGCCCAAGAGAATGAAAATGAAAACTGTAATTAGCAGAAATCTTGAAAATAAACCAAACCCTAACAAGCCAGTAGCCCAACATTTAAAAAGTCACAGTATTGATGAATACTTTCCACAGGCATCCTCTGGAATCCTTACGGTGTCACCATTTTTTATTATGTATTAAATCCCAGTAACTGTTACATTATGATATTTCTGACCTTCAGTAAACTTTGCTTTCTCTTGGCAGATTTGCAGCTTGATGCGAGGTGGAATAGCAGAGAGGGGAGGGGTCAGGGTAGGACATCGTATTATCGAGATCAATGGCCAAAGCGTCGTTGCTACAGCTCATGAGAAGATTGTACAAGCATTGTCTAATTCAGTAGGAGAGGTAAGGAAGCAAGTATTTTATCAAGGAATTAAAAGAGTTGGAAAATATGTATGTTTCAGTTGAAAAGAATGTCTTAACATAGCATTAAAGCCACCACCTCAGTAAACTGGAGTTAGGCCCTAATGAGAAACAATGAACAAAACATTTTTTGAACAATTAGATGCACATTCACTGCACTTTTTTCACTCATTTTCAAAAGCTCCTGGCATAATTCTGTACTTTCAACCTACTGTTTGAATTAAACCAGTTGATTAAAAGAATAAAACTCTCAAGCATGTTGGCTATGAAATGTCTTTTGGCTTATCACTACAGTATCTGCCATAGAAATAAATGAATATTCAAAGGGCTGAGAGACGTAAATTGATAGACATTTTAATAATTTATTTTCCAAACTTTGGGAATAAGCTAAGACACCTCTTTCCAGAGAAAGAGTTCTCTTTTCTAGAGAAATCAGCAACAAATGAGCAAGATCCTCCAGTTTATCAAAATCCCTTCTGAATTTAGTGGTAGTCTCATACACAACCCTGGCCAGATCTCCCACTAGTTCCTTTGCCAAAAATTAAAGCAAGCTGGTTTCCTTGTGGGAAGTGATAGTTGACAGATAACCCAGAGAACGTGCCCGTTGCCAGGAGCAAAGCCGCACCTTTCAGCAGCCCCACCGTGCCTTCGTGTCCCTCTGTGCTGGGTAATTCCTCACTAGAGGACAGCATGGAACTTCTTTACAGCATGAAGAGAACAAGATGTCAAGGCAGCACGTGGCTGGTGAGGGTCCATGTTATCAGTAAAGTTTCCTTTCCTTCCTCTTGTGTTGTCTGATAGGTACTCACAGCCGTTCGTACAGTTCTGACAGAACCCTCGTTAACTGAGCCTTTAGCCTTCCCATCTGTAAAATCCCTCTGGCACTGAGCACAGCACTCCTTGTAGAAAGAACTGAAGTACAGGAGCCACAAGAGAACCTGCTCCACCAAACTCTTGCCTGGCATTTAAACATCAGGTGGTAAAGTCCAAGTGTTGTGTTCAGAGGGTCATAATTCAATTAGGAGAAAATACATAAGAAATGACATTCCCACAGGGAAGGAAGGTAGAATAAAAAATCTTAAGTTCAGTTAATACCAGAACAGCAGAATGAATTTTCAGAGGTTTGTGTGCTGCTTCTTTTTTAAGGGCTGTAATCGGAGTAGAGTGTAACAACAGAAAGTGTTTAGGTGTCATACAATGTTGCATCCTGTCATTGTCATCAATAAATAATAAAAGTACCCCCACAAAAAATCAAAGACAGTGAACCAGCATCTTGAAATTGGAGAACTTTGAACTAGAAACTCTGCTAACACTCACATCTGTAGAAACCAGGACAAAAAATGCACTTAGAGCACAAGGAGAGAGATGGGGGCCTTATGGATTATTTTAAACTAGTACCAACTGTGTTAATTTATGTGTAATTAATTGACAGATACACATGAAGACTATGCCAGCAGCCATGTTCAGGCTTCTAACTGGGCAGGAGACCCCCCTGTACATTTAGCATTTTCCATCCAAGCTGAAGCTGTCATAGCTGAAGAGAATTTTGTATTTTGTATGAATGAAAGGCTTGGAAGCTGACCCGAGGACTCCAGAACAAGGAACAGACAGGTGTCTCTGCTTTTCTCTCCTTCCTTTCTATTTCTTTGACAAAAAGTGTTGAGAAGGATGGTCAAGGACAATAATCACTGACAAAAATCTTTGTAAACATTTAAGTATTTTGCAACATCTTCTAAACTCTTTTCTCATAGAAGTTAAAACATATTTATTTGTAACCTTTATGTGGAGTGATGTATGTCTGTCTTGTTTGATAACACAGTGAATGTGAATATTTGATGAATGAGACTGCAGGAAATGGCAAAGAGAAGCAATTAGAGAAAGTTCTGGCTGCCTCAAGTTAAAAAAAAATCCCAGTCCCATAAAGTGGTCCAATACTGATGACTTTGCATAATTTTAAAACTGGTGCTGAATAGGTGGTATTTCAGTGGGAAGGAATGCGTGCAGTTAAAACTTTTAGATTCTAATGTAAAGAAAACCACTGTAGTACTTGGTATTGTTATGACAAGTGTAACCTGTTTGGCAAGGTGTGAACATGTAACAAGTGTTTCATATGCTAAATAAAGAATAATTGCCACAAGATTAAAATCAAAATATTTATTTAGATACATATTTATTTTTAATGCTTGTGATTTTTATGATTTAACAGAGTTATTTCATGGATAACTTATTGCACAGACTGTGTACTGTATGTGTTGGGCTGGGTTTTTTTCCCTTTAATTTTTGCATATTACTTTTTTGTTCATATTAGCTCAAAATGGGAAAGCCATGCTTACCTGTTTCTGTCTTTTATAAAGCATTCTTATTCCTAAGGCAATGTGTTCTGAATGTAAATTGTTTTGACAAATAACCTAGCACCATCAGCAGTATTAGAATGTGTGTAGATAACAAACCTAGTAGTAAAGTTGTATTCCTTATGAGATAAATGTTAATTGGTGTAACTTTGTCTAATACTTTTTCTTTCGGCCAAGGCCTTGAAGAAAATACACTGTGACTTAAGAAGCCTTACCATGCAGTAACTAAAGAGTTTTAGATGACTGTACTTTAAGGAGTAGTGTGTTGCATGCAACTGACCTTAGGAAAGAATTAACCTATCACTAATAAATCTGAACTAAGAAAGGAAGCTTGCTTATTTTGTTTGTTTTATAAGTTTACATAGTAAAAAAATCCAAGTGGAAGATCATTTAATTCTTCATCTAAGTGCAGTTGCAAAGGTCACAGATTAATTTTTAAAAGGGAATTAATCTCTTGAATTAGGAATTTGTATATCATTATTATCTTGAGAGTAGATGCTTTCAATTAGCAAACCTTGTTGCCACTGGATGTCACTGTAACTTCACATCAATATAGGAGCATGCTATAATTAAAATACATTAAAATGGATGATTCTGTAAGACTTAAACTACCCATCTTCAGCTACATTCCTTTGTGACCTTTTCACAGGATGTCTGCCCAGCTCAGAGTGACACAAATGAAACCAGTATATGATTAAACCTCAAATGGAAAGTAACGCTCCTGCCAAGCACTGCTGCAAAACAATTAACCCCCCGAAACACCAACCTGGGGTAGGTTCTTTATGAGAACCTTTTGTTTAAAGCCTTTCCAATTTCCTCTGAGAGAGCCAGGATGAAGCTTGCACTGGAAGACGTTGCTGGCAGACCTGTGTTTATGCTGGTAATCAAATTAGTGTTGATGATATTTACTTTCTGATATTTTTTTTAAGATCAATGTTAAATAAATCATAAACACAGCAGAACCATAAGGACATGTTTTAGTAATAAAATTGTCAAAACTACTAATTGGAGTAAAAATTCTTTTTGAAAAAACGTTCAAGGCTCTGCTAGATAAAAATTCATCTAACTTGCTATTGGTGTTGGTAAAAAGTTTGCGAAAGGTGCTTTTTGGAAATGCAGAATTTCAAAGTCTTCTTCCCTAATGCATCTTTTGGCCACACATTGCAGAGTAATTAAACCTCATTTCTCAGTACCAGATGCTACTGCTGGAATAAACTCACGGGCATTCAGAACGAAGCAAAAATAAACCACACTGCAGCCAGTCCTGTAGGTTAAGAGGGCAACACTGGGGGGGGAGGAGTTTTAATCTGACAGATCAGTTAGTCTGGAATGAAGGACACTGGGAAAATGGATTAGAAGCAGCACTGTTATGTGTGTGTGGATCCCCTTTACATTTCTATCCAAATCAGTTGTTGAAAAAGCAAAGTCCAGAAATACTTTTTATTAAAACACTGACGATAGTTAAAACACTTTGAGGTACATAAACTAAATACAACTTTAAAGTTGTACAGTCAGTCTCTGGTGGGTTTCCAATGGTTTTCAAGAAATGCTGGGCAGCATCAGTAGCATTTCTGTAAGTACAGTGACATAAATGCATTTCCAGTTGGGAAAACACTTGTTATGACTTAACTAATAAATCAATTAAAATTTTGCAAAAATCAAGGCTGAAATTTACATTCAGAAAAACAGGTGTTCTCATCCTGCTGTTGGAAAGAAGTGGAATTCCAAGGAAAGACACTTTTTCCTTTTTAAGTCATCCACTATTTGTATTTCTCCCAGTCCTGGTTTCTTCCACAATTCTCTCTGCTGGAATCACGTACCTATGAATGTTATCAAAGGATGGTCTCCCGGCAAACTCCAATTAAACTGTGGGGCCTGTCCCGCTCTAAACTTCGGGAGATGTGGGACCTATGTGAGAAGGCAACTGGCGAGCTCAGAGCACCACAGCTCTGAAGGTGAAGATCTTCCCGAAGGCGCTTTCTGCAGGTTTTCACATTCTGCTGGGAACTCGTAATGACCTGTTTGAAAGGGCAGGAGTGGAGAAGGAACAAATGGGGGAAACAGGGTAAGAAAGGTTTTCATTTAAAAGGTTCAGTCTCTGAATAATATTTCATTTAAGCTATCCAGTGATGGAACTCTTCCAGAGGAGATGGGGGTTTGTGCAGCCCTCCAGAGCCCCTTCCACTTCTGTCCTTCCACCTGCTCAGGGCTAAGGGCTGGAAGGCACAGCCAGGCTTCTGCCTGCACTGCAGGGTGCTGTCCACACAGGTGCAAACAAGTATTTGCAAGGAAATCTGCGGAAAAGGTAGCAGCGCTCTCTTGTAATTGGAAAATAGAAGTTTGGAGCAAATTATGCTGTTTCTTTTAGGAGATAGATACTTCACTAGCTTTGTGAGGGTAATAGACAACTGAAACCTTGCAAGCCTGGTAAACAAGCATTTTAGTTTTAATAGAATTGTTAAGCTACCTCACAATTCTGAATTACACAACTCTTTCACCAAAAATTTTGTGACTTCTTAAGTAGATTGCTGGGATGCCCTGGGCCTTCACGAATTAATAATGTTTTTTGTCTGAAAAAATATAACTACTAAAACAATTTCTTTAATGGGAAAAAAGGTATGTCTCCCTGGATCTAAGAAATCCATACAGGATAAAAATTGGGCTACTGATTTCTAGTTCTGGCTCTGTGATCTACATAAGCACTCAAAGTGTGAGCAACTGGTTTTTTTCATGTAAAGAAAATTGTTTTCAGCTTTCTAACCTTGGGGATTTAATGGGCTATGCATTTTGTAAAGCAATAAAATCATTACAGTTTCCCCCTATACTGCCAGCACTAAGGACATCATGACAGTGCAGCTTTTGTGTCCGTGTGACTGCACAGGCACTGATCCAGTGCTGCTTCTGTGTTCTGCTTCACAGGGAGCAAAAGCAGTCTTGCAGCAAGCTTTAAGTGCTGCATGGTTCCTGCTGCACATCAAACTCTCTCATGTGCTTTTCAAGTGTTACCACATCCTAGTTCAACACTTAGACAATTTCCCTCATTTCGGGATCAGCTGACTAATATCCCAGAAATTACAATGTCTCAGAAGGGAGAGAAACAGCCCCCCGGGGTGTATCCTTAGTCATCTGTCAAGCTCTGGAAACTCTACAGGCATCCTGCTAAGAGAATTCTGCTTTTCCAATTGGACAAGGTAAAAGAACATAATTTCTGTCATTCTGGTAACAATACTTGCAAGAGGTGATTCACCACCTTTCTTCCTGCAAAAGATGATGTATTATTAAATATGCATGAGATATTAAAAGGTGCTTCCACTAATTCCCTCAGTTTATAGGATTCCTTCCACACCTTATGTCTGTTTTATTGTCACTCAGGGTGAGTAGCAGCATTATTCTTTCATTTGGAAAAGCACAATTTCTCAATTCTTTTTCTTAAAACCAGCAAGGACCATTATAATTCTTCTGGTCTGCACTGTTTTTTGAGATGGATGTGGCCCTGCTTGGATACCTACCCATTCTTTTCAGCCAGTAGCTTATGCTGCACAAATACATTTGCCTCAAAAAACAACAGATCCAAGTCACTTCTGGCTATCTCCATATATATACATCCCAAATTGATGTATGGAACAGTCACAGGTCCAGAAAGACATTGGAGATAGGAGAGGACGATTATCAACATGTAAATCAGTTCCCTACAGATCTCCTAGGTTCTTACTAAGCCAAGCTGAGTGATTTTAAATGCATTTATAATGCTTCACTGTAAAAATGCACTGCTGCCCAGTAAATATAAACTATTCCTTACTACGAAAATATACCATGTTACTATAAAAGAACTTCTGTAGCAATTGTCTGAAGTAGTTAAAACGGCAGAAACATTTAAATAAGGCTTGTCTATCAAAGTTGAACACATCACAGGTGGCCTACCTGGTCTATAATATTGGCACTGAAGATGGCTTCTTCCATGTGTCTCTCATCAGATTTAATTACTGAACGGATGCTGTTCACTACGTGACGTACTTCTGGAGGGAGATTACAGTTTGAATGTTCCAAAAATTTTGCCACTAAAATTTTTGTGTCTTTATAGGCCTTAAGGTCCACTAAGGAGTGTGGCCGCTCTTTTGAGACTGTGTGAAAAGCCTTTGGCTTTAGGTGCAGGTCAATTTTCCGTGTATCCCTCTGTTTTCCAGTTGGTAGGAAACTGCTCAAAGAATGCTGACAGGCAGAGGCAGCCATATGAGAACCAGAAACAGCAACTAAAAAAGGGGGGGAAGAATATCTTTAAAGTAATAGTTTAAAAAAAGAAAAAGAAAAAAAGAAAAGAAAAAAGGCAAAACAAATATTGTCACAAAGTTTTTATTTTGTCATAAAATGTCTGTTTTGTTTGAAGAGTAGCAAAAACATGCAATCAAGGAAACACTGCAAAATGGGTAAGTTTAACCAGGAGTCAAGACTAAGACTTTCCCATGACCAAGGAGGACTGCCTTGAGAATGAGTGAGTGCGCAGTAAAGTATTTCATAAATCACAGATGTTTTTGTTACCTCTACCTTCAGAGAATTCAGTTGGTATTACTGATAAGGAGAAACATGACCTACTCTGTATTACATATGTAATTCGTAAAGTTTTAGGCCCAGCTCCCCCCTTCCCCAAATAAGTCTAAAATTCTGCTTGTTTCTAGGCCTAGAAAATTATATGCAGTGAATAATAGAAGAGACATTAGTAAGAAACATAAGGAAAGCAAAAATACTAATCTAAAAGAGAGCAGCATTTATTTTCATTCAAGGCTGGTTCCATCAGCATTGTACACCATATATGTATGCTGTTAGCTAAGTGGCTTTTCTGCCCCAAATTTTCTAAAGCTCATTTCTCTATCACAAGCTTTTAATTATTGTTAAAAGAAAAGAAGCAAATATCCTGCTTTAGAAAACTGATCCTCACCTGTTTCTACTGTAGCTGGAGATAATCCTGCATCTTGACACTGGCTGCATACAGGAGTCCAGGCACAATTATCACCTTTAACCAAAGAGAGAGAGACAGAAGGAGCAAAGTCAACCTGTGCTGTCCTCTGCCCAAAACAAGTTAAAATACACTGGAATCTTTTACTATCTCCTTTACAGAATGAAACTACTCAGAGGAAATACTGCTTTCAATATTCATAAAGAGAAGATACTACACACAGAAATGTCCTATGAGCTCTTAAATAGATACAAATAGGAAGATAAAGCTCCTGCTTGATGGTTTCCTCTGTAATCCTAAATATTTCAGGCCTAAGCACTGAAGCTCTGGAAGGTTCCCTACTAGGGGCAACCCTCAGATTTTTCTATACTTCCTTGGCAGACAGAGTTTATACTGGAAAATAGGAAAACCGAGAAAGATGGATCCCTCTTATTTCTACAAAATCAGTCTTTTATTCAGTATTTCTACCTCCTTTTTTATATTCTCATTCTTTGCAGGATGAGTGTCATACACCCCTGATTAGATTAATGGGTAGGTGACCACTGTGGTACCTGATGAGCCAGTCAATACCAGGGGGCTATGGAGCATCTGCAAACAGCTTTGGACACAGTTGCCAAGGATAGTTTCTGGGATGCCAACACAAGGATCAACACCTATGAGATCACCCTGTATTATAATTAACACTGTACTCTTTTCCATTTCTGACAGTCAAGATGGAACAAGCTTTCAGTTTTATGCTATGGCTGTTTACATCTGCTTCCAAGACTGAAAACTCTACTGAACTTCTAGGTGGATTAGAAGAGGTTTTCTTCCATATCTCCAGGGACAGTTTATAATGAAAAGCCCATATAATCCTCTCTGGTAGAGTGAATAATTAAATGAAGGAAACAGATGTTAAGGTGCTACAAACATAGAAAATCTGTAAGAAATTAGGAGAGACAGCTTCTACTCTGTCTTTAATTTGCTCTATTATGCTGAAGTACTGCTGCACATGAATCATAGCATGCTTATTAAGAGAGACACTTCAGAGGTTCTGTCTTCCCATCCATTACTATACTGCTTAATGTACTTACAGCGAGTCAAAACTACACCACTAGACATTACCCTGAATTATGTGGAACACAAACGCTACAGTAATCAAACTGATACAGTCACACAGTCTAACATAGCTGATTATAAATTAAATTTATTGTAGCAAACATCTGTGTTTGTTAGGTTAGGTTTGTTAACCTCTGTGTTAGAGGTTGATTTTGTCTTACTTTGCTATGATAAACTTTACAGGGAAAGGACAGAAAAAACATGCAAACTATTAACTTTTAAATAATTTTTTTAAGTGGGAACTATGTCTGACAGAGATGGTATGTGAACCCACCATACTTGTGTTGTCCAGGGACTATACAGGGACTATAATGGCACCTATTAAACTTTCACTTATAATTTCTCCACTAGAAGTGACAGATATTTTAAAAAATAATCAAGCTCACATTAAAGTATTAATGGGAGAATTATTTGACTGTACATACCACAAAGACCCCATCACGTCAAGATGTGCTTGAAGCACATGAATTGTGTTTTATTGACCAAAAAGCTCACAGTTTTATGCCAGCACTAAAATGTCCAGATTATTTATTTCTTAAATCTCATTGCTGTTGTGTCGCACATGTGCCACATCTGCATGTCAAATAATTTATGTTCCAAACTGTGGGCAGTGCAATCACACCATTGTGCAAAACCCATTTAACAAACGTCTACACAGTAAATATCAAGGTTGTGCTTCTGAATCTCTTCACATTGGCTTGTATGTGGAGGTGAGTCAGAAGATAAATTAATAATTTTTTCTTAAAGTAGAAAGACTGGGTCTTTAGATAAACCCAAACCACAAGTATAATCTGCCCACTGTTTTCTGCCTTTTGTGAACATGGCTGAAGCTCCTCCAGCCTCAGTTCTCCAAAATCCACAGTCCCTTACATGAGTCATTAGTATTAACAATATGTAGGTTCCAGCTCTGTCTTTCATAGAGTCAGTCTGTTTGACCAGTTCTTCTACTCCAGGACAATTTTAAAAGAAAAGTGTATGTTACTGAAAAAAATCTGAAAACCCTTTTTCTTCTGGGTTGATGGAGGGAGCTCAGTGGTTCTCTTTAACTTTTGCCTATTGGTCAACTCCGTGGATATATTTTAAAATTCTACAGTGAGTAGAACCAATAGCCAGTTGTGAAAAATCTGGATCAAATGCCTTTTTAAAGTTACTAGGACTGTAAAGAACTTCAGCTGTTTGTCACAGCTTAGGAAAAATATGCTTCACGGCTGCTACAAACACAGTCAGTAATGATATTAGAATAGGGCTGCTTCTGATCTATTATGATTTCCAAATAAAGTTCAATAAAAGGAAGAGGAAGCAATGTGAAGTTTTAAAAATCTTCACAGACTAAAATTTTGCAAACTGTAGTTTGCCAAACATATACATGAAAGAAATACGCATATCTAGACTCAACGGCTTCTCTTAAGGATTTCATTTTAAAGAGTCTTTTGTGGGCAGTGAAAGAACAGCAAATGAGGTCAGCACAGTCACTTCTTGACTCCCCCTCCCTCGTATATACCTATTTCTAGGACCTTCTCTGTCTCTGTTACAATTTTTGGTGAGCCCAGTTACATCTCAGTGATGTTCAACTGGTGTCCCCCCATGCCACTTCTCCAGAAAAGATGATGAATGTATTTAGGATACATTGAAAAAGAAGGCAGAGCATCTGTTGTACCAGGTGTCCCAGCAGGCAGCAAGAACACGTGGATAGGGCTGCCTACAGCAACCTCTCAAACACTGTTCACCCAGCACAGGGAGCACAATATTGGAAAGCTGCAGAGCCTCATCCAGAAGAGAAAGGGCTGTTCTTGTCTTTGGCACAGTAGAAAGGATTCAGAAATTCTTATTTAATGTCTGCACAGCAGTTTCATAGCACATACATCCTAGCAGAATGTCATAAAATAAAAGCAGACTTCTAGATTAAAGATTTGCTTTTCCTGGCCCAGATCTGGGGGCTAGATTTCTAAAGGTAAACCACATTCAACTGTTGAGCTAAGTATGAGGGGTCTGAAATCTACAGAGTAATGATGCAAGGAGTGTAACAGAACCAACATGTCATACTAAAGGAAACTAGTTATTTCAACATTTTGTCTACTTTTGCTGAGCTAGTCACATGATTCTTCCTGTAGATCCCTTAGAAAGCCCAAGGAACAGATCTTGTAACAGCATAATCTCTGACATCTTACAAAGCTTTAAAATCTTTACTTTCAAGGCACTTCTCCAGGTTACCCTTCTGAACCTCTCTGAACAGGTTACATCCTTTTGTAAAACCTGCTCTTTCCACATGGTTTAGACAGTTCTACATTCCTGCTATTATTCTCTACTAAATCAACCCTTTCTTTTTCACTAAAAAGCAGATTTTTTTAATGAAAATACACCGTCCAGTCAGCATCTACTCTTGTCTTCCCTACTTGTCTAAAAGGAGATTTATAGCACAAGATACTTATCCTCCACAGCCAAAAGCTTTCCTTTCCATTTATCATCTTGTCATGTGCCTCATTTTCATTTCTTTGTCCTTAAAACTTTCCACCCTACACTCCAACTTGCCACTGGTCACATTGACTGCCCTGACATGCCCCAATACTCTCAATGTCAGTGTCACCTTTGGGAAATACAACCTGCTGTATTACACGTGTGACAGCTCAGGTAACAGTTTCCTAAAGAGACACCAGCTACCATTCAACTTCTTAGTTCAGTCTCTCAATGTAACAGTAATTGAGAGGTGGAGACAGCTACCCAACACATGGTTTTCTGAGCATTACAGAAAGAACGGGGAAATTTAGAAAAGCCAAAATTAATTTCACTGTCAATTTTTGCATTTCCATTCTTAAAAATTTTCATATTTAGAAAATATGCATGGAACTAAAGCCTTCACACATAAGTCAGTCCTCATTGGAACGTTGTATATAATTCCCAGTAGCACCATTTGCTGCATAAATCACACACCACTCATTTGTTCCATGTTTGCAGCCCTGTTGTTCTACACCTACCTTCTGTCACAAACGACCATGACACGGGGGCACTGTTTGATCGGACTATGTTTGAAATTGGGTGTTTTCTAATGTGCTGCTGCACAGCAGTCTCATGGCCACTTGTGTATGATGAAGTATTTGCAGGTCCAAAACAGGGAGAGGTCTGCAAAGGGACAGGCTGGCTGAAGTCCACACAGCAGGTTTTCTTTTCCTTCAAAGGTGCCGTGGCATTGCTCTCTTGAGCAGAACTCTGCAGTTCTCTTTCTGAGGGGCTGTAATTCCCTGAGGAACAGTCCAAGGGCCTGCCATGGGCACGGTTCTTTTCCTGTCTGTGAGCCCTGTCTGTGGAGGCTCGGCTGTGGGAACTGTCATCCTCAGGAAAACCCTCTGAGCGAGTTCTGTGGAACCTGCAGTGAGTGTGGTAATCCAGGGGGCTGCAGCTCTGGTCTGCAGCCCCTTTGGGGGTTATACAGTAGGGAGAAAGATCTGCAGAGTGGAGAGATCCTTGAACTTCCAGCGAACAAAGATCTTCAGAGGAGTAGCTGCGGTCGGGGATATCAACAGCCTCAGAGACCAACAGAGAGGTGCTCTCAACAGAAACTGCAAAACAAGAGGTTCAGAGACTAATAAAAACTTCTTGCCTTCCTCCCACTCCTCTCCTGCCCCATTTTCAATGTACTGATTTAAATTCAGTAATCAGCAGGTACATCAATAATTATTCAAAAACTCTCAGATGACAGAATGCCAAAGCAAAAAACACTGAAGTAATTTCCTTCTTTCTCATGTCCTTCAGCAAAGACAATTTTGTGCTGTCCTCCAGTATAAGCATGTTTGAGCACCTGGTATGAAAGTGTTATCTGCAACTACATCTGGACAGGAGTAGCTCTTTCACTACTGGTTTCTCTGGTAAACAAAGAGAGATTGCCTGTGGCAGGGAAAGTAAAACTTTATACAAATGCTGAGAAAACACGGCTCTGATCACTTTTAAACCTATTGCTCCTGTCAGTGTTAGCTCTGCACCTAACTATTCAATCAACCAACATTTCCTTGAAGCATAAAGGTCTTTACAAATAAGCATTCACCATCATAGAACATCTCTGGCACACAACATTTGTGACAGATGATTCAGGTACAAGCTAAATATTCTACATAAGGTCACATCATCTTTGAACCCTTTGTATTAAAAACTGAGCTTGTTGTCATTTTCTCTGTCGTGTCTACAAATACCCTATGAAAACAAATATTTGGTTCTGCATTATTCCTAAAGTCATGAGAAAAATAAAGAAAATAAAACTAGATAACCCAGTCTCCAAGTTCCAATAGTGTAGACAACATTTCCCATATCAGACTGGAATTCCTGAAAGTCCTGTATCTAAAATCAAAATATTTACAAAATAAAAATCACCTAATTCTATTCAGCTCAGCAGGTTCTGATCTGTTCTTTTTGCATGACAGCTGTTACTAATCATATTGATGAGACAAATGTATTTTACCTATTTCCTTCAGGAATAGAATAATAGGATCTTTCTGAATTACAGAATTACAGAACTTTTGTTATGTGTTCCTGTGTTTTGAGGTCTAGAAAGCAGAAAGCTTTCTACAGTATAAGAAAATTAACTATCACAAGAAAAATCAAATATTCCTGAGGTTAGATTTTGTGAAGAACATTTTCTTCGTACACAAAATGAATCACGATTTTCTTTTGGGGTTTCCAGGAAATAAATTTCTAACACTTACACTGTCAAAAAGGGCATAATAATCAATAGTGAAAATACATTTACACATCTACATTGTGCCAAAAATGCATAATATGCTCCATTTATTATGTGTTAGGTGTAAAGCTGCAGTGGTTTATTGGACTATTTATATTTGTGATGTGTCCACAAACATTTTTACATAGATAATTCTTTGCAACATATTCCCTTAACTAGAGCTTTGAAATATTTATAAAGTCTGTATGGATAAATGAAAGCATCCAGTAGTCTGTGCCTGTTTTCAGGGCACAGATCTGCACTATCCAAACACACTCTGGTATGATTCAATTTAATTAATAACCAGGAGTGTGGTTGTTTGTACTATTTGCTATCTGGACTTAAGGGCCTTAAACTGTATTTTCGGCTTCTAACTATTCTGCTCTTCCATTGACATGATTTTTCTGGTACTACGGAGAGCAGAAAGAAGGGTCTGAAGCAGATGAGACGCAATCACTGCTCAGAAGACATGGAATGGTAGTACCTGACTGATTTTACACGAATAAAACATGCTGAAGACCTCCTTAGTTCCCTTTCATGTGCACACAGCATGATACATAATGTCAAAACCCTGGCTTGAGAGCTGGTCCACTGCTTCCCAATGGTCAAACCTCTAGAATTGGCCTTAAAATTTAGACTGTCATTTGTGGATGTGAAGTCCAGATGGACGTAAAACTTTAGGGACTAGCTCTCTAGACAAAGCCCTTGTTCACAGCAGCTCTTACAAAACACCTTCAGTCTCCCTCAGTTATAACACACACACTTGCAGTTTTCAAACATTATTTAAAAATTAAAAAAAATAAATTAGCAGTGGTTAAAGGTGATCACTGGTGGGGTGGATCTGGAAACTGAAATCCTACTCCACAAAACAGATACTCTGTGCATGTAGGAACAGATGCTCTGCGCTGATCTGCCAGGCTTGTCAGTCCCATGCTGGAGGTCAGGCAAGAGAGCACCATTTCTGTTTCCTGGACCACTCTGCCACCACCTCTCTGCCCAGAGTGTACTGAGAACACGTGCCAGTCTGCTTATTAATGCAATATGAATATGAAGAGGAAAAGCATTTAATGGAAATTTAACTACAATAATTGTTTCATACAAACTGAGGCTGCAGTGTTTAAAAAGCCTCTCTGCAGCAACAGACATGGCAAGGGTACTGACTTTTAAACTTTGAACAAACAGGCTCTATACTGCTACTGCTCATCTACTTGCATTCCCAACATCTATGCTTCAGGCAGCAAGCTTCCATTCAGGCTTCTGGAAGCCATGCATGAAACTACCATATGGAGAAGGCCTGGGGGGACTATCAGGAAGGCACCTGTGGCTGCTGACAATGAGAAACAAGCTGCAGGTATGGGCAGGACTCTTCAAAGAGAAAGGCCAGTCGCCATATCTGCCTCGAAGGGCTTTAGAGACCACGCTTGGTTTAGCAAAACTCTGCTCTGCATTTCCAGCTGCATCAGTCTCCTGACTGTGAAAAGGTTCATCGTGCCATGAATAATCTGAAAGCAAATCCTTCTGTCTCCACTGGGAAGGGCAGAGGAAAAGGAAAAGTCCACTCAAAACTCCTACTCCATCTTTAAGTAGACAAAAGCAGTGCCACGATCACCTTGTGTGCTGAAGTCCGGGGTCACGTTCCTCTCCCCCAGGGCTGAGTCAGACACTTGCTGGGCGGTACCAGAGACCTAAATGAACATTTTTAGTGAAACAGCATGTTAATCTGGATTGTACCAAACAAAGTGTGGCACTGTTGATCTGCAGAATACACCTGACAACATCGAATAGCTTTCGTATCAGTGGCTATTCAGATTGAAAATGATTTAAATTATTTTACAACATCTTTGGGTCAGGAACCAAATGCAGGGCAAAGGAATGTACTTAACACAATTTTCACTTTTCGAGAATCTACAAGGTAAATTAATCTTGAATTCACAGGCAGCTGCAGGCCCACATTACAAAACTTGATGACTGCAATGCTTAAAACTAATGCATTTATTACAAGTAAATTCTGTTTCTACAGTCTGCATTTTTCCATATTATGTTTGGGTTATTTTCACACCATATCACCCTAAAATAGGACAGAGGAAAACAGAAACCACAAAACCGAGCACAAGAGAAGTATTTCTCTTTGGTTATATGCAGGGATGTTAACTCCTGGTGTTTTTTAAGCCCTATAACGTCGGTGCCACCCAAGGGGCTGGTGCAGAGTGCTCTCCAGAATGCTGATAATATTATAACTCACCTTTTTTCTGAAGGGATGGACATAAGTGGGTAACTGCCCTTCGCTTTTGAGAATCATGTGAACAAAATACAGAATCAGTTCTCCTGGAAATACTGCACCCATAAACACCTGAAATTTAGGAAATTTTATTTCTATTGATTTGAATAGATTTTGGATTGGACCTTGCCACCAATCTCAATAGATTTTTGGCAGTTCTTTGGGAATGTGATTATAAAAAAATTATTCCAATAAATAGCTGGTAACAACAAAAAAGGTCAAAAGGAATGAGATTGATACCATCTTTAGCAGAAAGCATCCTATCTCCTTCTGTCTGTAGGGCCACAATCAACTAGTAAAACTATTTATGGTTGGTGACAGTCTAGAAATAAGCATCAGTCCCTTCTGTGTGCACCTTTGTGTCAAGCACTTAATTTGTATCTGGTCTTCTAAAAACTGGCTGTGACACGATTAGTCTGAAGCTATTATGGAAAGAGCTTCCATTTCACATGCCAGTGTAGATACAGCACACATATATACACATAACTAACTGTGCTCAATATTTTATTTTTTCCTGTCTATCTATCTATGTATGTATCTATCTATCTACCTACCTACCTACCTATCTATAGCTTACTATGAGCAAGTGATTAGGGAAATTTTTGTGATACAAGTTCAGTTTTTAAAAGTGATTTTAAGTGTTAGTAAATACAACTCTAAATAAAGAACAGTGCCAGAAATACTTAAACTCAGCAATAGATGGATAGAGGACTGGGAAGAAAATGTGTAACCATTCATATTTTTAAACAATTCCCTTGGAAATTTCTTAAAGATCTTTTTGTAGCAGAGTATCGCATCAGTGGTAAAAAGTAAAATGTGGTGTCCCTTCAAGCTGCAGATCGTTCCTGGGAACTAACTGGAAAAGTAAGAAGTGTTCTCAAATTCTCTTTGTTGTTGGAGAAAATTCAGACTAACTACATTTTGGAAGAAACAGTATAATGTTTTAAGGGCGTTTGTTTCTTTTTAAAAATCTAGGGGTTCTAGGCACTTTCATAAATTCTTAACCCAGGTGCTTTCATAAACCTGATTGCTGACTGAAAAATATCTACTGAATATTTGTGCTGAAACATTTATTGACACTAGATTCTCTCAGGGTAACTGCTGAATGTATTTTATATGCATTTGGTTGATTGAACTTCTTGCCTGGGGGGGAAGGAGAACCACAATTTTAATTGTAGGAGGTAACACTGACAATTTTTAAGCCAGGTCCAAGTTGTGGTTCACATAGAAAAGGCACATGGTTTCATACAGGTTCCTACACAGCCAGGGGTAATAAAACCTTATTGACTGCACATCCTAAGACACAAAGGTGGTAAAGACAGTCACTGAGCTTTCAACAGGAAAATGCAAGAAAACTGGTGCTTTTAACAAGCCTGCAGAGCCTACTGGTGAGTAAACCTTACAAAAACAAGTCACTGAACTCTGATCTGTTTGTTCTCATCTTTTTTATATCCTAGTCGATACTTTGCATGGAAAACTGTGTGTGAAAACCACTTTTTTTCATAGTCATGGAATGGGAATTCTTAATCAGTACAGATGACAACAGTAGTTTTTATATTGATGCAGTCACATAAATTAGCACTGACATTTGTTGCTCATGAAATTAATGAACTACTGAGTCTAATTTGATATAATTTAATAAAATTCTAAGGACCTCAATCCATTTAAAAACAAATAAAAACTATTTGTAAAAGGTTTACAGTTATGACATTATTACATAATGGTTCCCAGAAGCACTTTTATAGCTAAATCTGCCATGATTTCCATGGCAAAGTCTGCCTTTGAAGGATTTATAAATCTCATTATTTCAGTTCATACTGTGCTGTGCTTGGTGCATGTTCTAGGAGAGCACTTCCATTATGTAAGAATTCAGGTCTCCATTTTGTTCCCCTTGTAGACCTAAAACTGTTTTAGACTTTGGCTCCATTCTCCATCTACAGCTTAACTGGGACACTAACTGCAAAACTACATTAGAGCTTCTGCTGTCAAGAAAAGTCCATGGCTCCAGCATCACTGTGTGGGCTCTGGTTATCACTGCCAGGGAACCTCACTGCTGAGCAGCACCTGGGATCAGTTTGCTCCTACAAGCTCTCCGAACCAGCAACTACCAGACATACATAAACTCCCTGCTGGTAAGAAACTGTACAATTGTATGCATGGCCAGTCTTCGTGAGCGCAGATTTGGGAAAGGTCTTTCCCCTTTGATCCTGTGCAGTGGATTTTTTAGGTGAGACCCAGTGTGCGCTGAACTGAGCCCACCCTTTAATCCTGAGGTTCCTCTGCCGGGGCCGAGCGAGCTCGGACGGTGGCAGCGAGGTCCCCAGAACGTAGGTTTGTTTAGTGACCTTCTCTGAGATGGATGGCCTTACAGGGCTGACGAGCTCCATCTGCCCGGGGAAGTCCCCTGACCGGGAATCGAACCCGGGCCGCGGCGGTGAGAGCGCTGCATCCTGACCACCAGACCACCAGGGGGCCCGAAACCGGACAATTATCACCATTCCAAAAGAAAAGTCACCACTCATTTTCACTGGCGAGGAGAAGAAACACTTCTGGAACTCAGGTGACCAGAGATGAACAGACAAGATGCTGAGACTGACCCCAGATGTCAAAAAAAAAAAAAACACAAAAAACCCCCACAAAACAAAAACAACCAACCAACCAACAACAACAAACAAACAAACACCTAACAGTGAATACATCTACTTATTAAGGCTCAAACTCTTCTTGCAAGGGCATGACAGTGCATCTTCAAATTACTGATGTTAAATTATATTTCTGTTACATGCTGGTGTTACTGTGCTGCTAGATGTTAATGCTCATGCAAAGAGTAGTCTCAATTACAAGAGTGCTTAAAATTATTTTGTGCTTAACTATTAATAGACACTTTCCTAATTCTTACTTAGTACCACATATAAATTCTCATCACAGATATGATCCTTCTCTTTCCCTCTAGACCATGCATGATTCATATCACTTTTGCCAGGTTTTTTTATCACCAAAAAATATCAATTTCTCCAAGACTTGCAGGTTTATCTAAGTTACTGCAGAAGAAAAAGGATGGAACTTGGATAAAAATATTTTAGAAAGGAGATGGCCTTGAAAACTCCGATTTTGTTGTTCAGCAAAAAACAACACTCACAGTGATCACACTCAGTTTATGCTGATTCATTTAACTATAGCCAAATAAATGAAAATTAGTGCTATGTTTATCGTGGCAGGTGGAGGGTACAATACAAAGTTAGGCATGTCTTGGAGGTATTTAATTGCGTTTTTGTTGTGGGCTTTGCATCTCAGTCTTCTTTTTTCTCAGACATTTGTACTAATTATTTTAATAATCTTCTTGTTTATAATAGTAAAAATTCATGTGATTTTTTTCGGTTTGAGTTTCAATTGTGTTTCCCCCAGTGTGAAATAAATCACTAGCAAACTTTTCAGTGTTATATTCTGGGGAAAGAAAAGGTAGTCCCCTCTGAAATGTGGGTACAATTTGGCAACCTGAACATAAGTATTTCCACAGTGCACTACTAACCACTCATAAGCGCTATCTAGAGTGTTTGACTCCTGGAGCCTGCAAGAAATTACAGCTTCTAAAAGCAATTTTAAGTATTTTCCTTTTGTGATAGATGATTCAATTACCACAAATCACTTCAAGCAAAACTTAGCTTTGGCTGTATATGCAGATACATTATAATTCCAGTTTTAGCTGAGTCCATACTGTACAGTACAAAATAAGGCAAAAAGTGTAATATCAATATTTGTCTGAAGTATACTGGATCCTTTCTCGAAGTTCAGGATAAAGGTGTTCTGCACTCTCAGGAGTAGCATTTCTGCCACATAACAACTGTTTATTAGAAGCTGTAAAGTCAAAAGGTTAATCAATAAATAGGGAACTACTCACTGCTGTTTCATAGGAAGAATAAGTCCCTATCTCTTTATCATTCAAATCTTTGCAACTTTGCAACTACTAAAGCATAAATTTGGCACTGGGTTCAAGGCATCCTGTCAACACTAGAGCACAGCATTTTGACAATCTATACCATTATAGGTATAGATCTATACCATTCTAGGATTTTTCCAGGACATGACCTGAAATCTGACAAAAGCAGGGAACTGAAAATATTAACTGTGTTAATCTGAGGCTATTTACAGAGATTTTTATTTTAGAAATTTTCAAGACCACATTCTAGTTTCACACAAAGTGTAAAATGGCAATTCATAATTATCTTGGCTTGGATCACACGCAAGGCAAATCCAAGTGTTCATGAGCACTGTGCTATATATACACATACCCAAAACCCACAAGTTATTAGCATTGCATGTCACAAGACACACAGTTACCTTTTTCCTTACTAAACCTACACTGTTGTGTTGAGCTACCACGAAATGGAGTATATTACAGCGAGGCAAATTCAATATTAGCAGCAGCTGGAATAAAAAATATTTTACAACTTTAAGGGTTTTTAAGAAAATAAACCTGCTTGCTCCCTAATCAATACTACTTATTATCTACAGGAATTGAGAAGTGTAATGTTATTTTAAAACACTATTATCCTCAAATAAGGAAAAACACCATGTTTCTGTGATTCCAATCCATTCTTCTAGGTTTTTGTTACTGACAGTCCAGTATCATTCAACTTTTTTAATGGATGAAATCATGCACAAGAACACAAAGAAAATACACATTAAGTGTTAGTTAAACCTTTTTAAAGAAAATGGTCTGAAAAATGTTTTTAAAGAATATAAGTATTTTCTAATGGTTGTTCCTCAAAATTTATCTAGAATTGTTTTGCATCATGGAAATCTGAAGACTATTTCTTTTGGCTTTCCTTACCTGACTGGCAGGCATCTCTCCCATCACTGCCTCATAAGGAGGGGGCAGTTCACTTGGATACAGCATTCCCGGGCTATTAATGGTTACTTCGTACAAAGCACCGAACGGGGAATGAGGAAAGTCCAAATGGAGACCTCTGCATAAAAACACAAACAAGCAAACTTAATAATTAAGAAATGGCATTGGATTTGTTTGGTAAACTATTACCTACACCACAGTGATGTAAAGCCTTCTCTGAATTCAAAGCCAATACACTACAGAGAATTAAATTGAAGAAATTTATTAGACAACCAAAATGAAGTCCTAGTTCACGGGGTAGCTTTAAAAACTCTATTTCATTTAGGATGCCAGCCATCTCCACCAGCCTGTTGTGTCATCATTAATGTCCTTCACTATTCCACATTAATACATTTAAACTACAATGACTTCCTTAAAGAATTAAATCTCATATTCAACTTCAAGTGTATAATGTTAATTGTGAAAGGGTCAGCTATAAGATGATCTCTGTTTTAAGTTCAGATATGGTTATTCTTGTCTTAGCTAAGTTCAATCATTTCTCTTTTACAGCAAAGCTTTAACACAAATATTTCCAGATGTAGCCTGACAAGTTTGCAAACAAACCATTTGTAATCTCTCTGGAAAAAAGCACTCAATGTAAGTGAAGGGCATGATTTGCCTTTATATTCTTTGAAAGATCTTCTTAGTCTGCAGAACCACTGGTCTGCTTCTTAGTCTCAGAACTACACCCTGACTGTAAGAAAGAGAAGAAGAATCACCTCTGTGCCTCTACCACTGGTGTGCAGGTGTATTCTGGGGGGTAGTAGGGTGGAGGTGGGATTGGTGGTATGAACTCATCAAAATCCAAGGTTTGATGCAGGACAGTCCCGTGTGGAGTCATGCAGTCAGGATTGGTAGAATGCGGCCTCTGGGGCAGAAACTGAAAATGAACAGGTCAAGTTCCTTCAGATGGCAGAAACATCATCACTAACAATAAAAATGTCCATAAAATTTCAGTATTACCATCCCTGACCAATATCCAATTTCATTAATAACCACACTGAAATCAGAGGCACTTCTGGAACCATAAGAATACTCGGGATCAGTTGAGAAGGGTAAGTCAGATTGCCAAAATACAACACAAGGTTTGACTAAAGACAGAGAGGCCTTGGGCCTCCAAGTGAGTCACTCTTAGGATGCAGAACACAGACATTTGAAATCAAATAGCTTTTCAAGAAATAATTCTACATTGTATACAATTTTATGATAGTACCACATAATCAGCTGTATTTTCATAACTGATGAACAATAGAAAAAAACTACTAAAATAACAACATGGATGTTTTTTTTCCCCATCTGAAGTGCCCTGCGCTTACAGGGGAAAAAACCCCAAATGTCACCCTCCAAAACAAACCCAAATAAAACTAACTAGAAATAGGCTACCACATATTCATTGAATTTTGAATAAAACAACTAAAAATAGCCCACCTATTTTTCCCTTCCAACAAAAGGGTGATTTATAACTATTCTTTATTATTCTTGTAAAAAAATATATACTTAATAGTTGTCTGTGTTTGGTGATACACTGCACACTTAAATGTGGTATAAAGGTTTTAAATCCTGGTATGAAAGTAAGAAAAACACATTCCACATAAACATCTCAAAACCAAAAAGAAAACAACTACACTGAACAATAAAAATTAATAATACTGAGAATTACTGTCAACATTTATGACAGCAACCTCATCAGCTTCTAGCAGAGCAGGGATTTAAGGAAGCCATTCCAATACCTTTGATCTCAGAAACACTGTAAACAAGTGTCCTAGGAAAGGCTTAAGCTAATTCAAGATCAAATATGGACCATGCTGCAGATCACATGGAATACAGCCACCTTGACCTGGCTCTTTGTGGTCCCCATGGATAAAAGGGGATCAAAAGACAATCCAAAACCGTAAAAGAATTTTTTTTTCTCTAGGCAAGCTTCTGCTGTCATATCACTTTTCTTGGATCAGTAGCTGACTTGATCTTTATCTCCTGCATTTTAAAACAAGTCAGCTAAGAAACTTTGCTGGAGGCACATTCCTTTTTTATACTGGAACAAGACAACATGTCTTTGTAGGTTCACTCATTACATTATTATTTGTTTAAACCTGTGATAAAAATTTAGGAAGCAGTGAAACAAAAGGGAAAATGCTTATAACTTAGGAGATCCAGCAAATAGAAGGTAAATTACCTTCAATTTTATTATCACTGTTTTTTTTAAATTTAACTTTGTGTAGTTCTGCTGAATTTACATTACGAAAGAAATAATACTGGTCTTTGATGTTTAAAAGGTTGAGTTACATCTTAATTCTATTAAACTCCATGTATGTTGTTTCAAAGGTCAAAGCTGTAGTAACACAACACAACAGAGAGTCAGGAGGACCAACTTCAACCATTTGTGAAAATGAACTATTAGCTGCTTACTAATCAGCTCTCCAGAGACATTTTCACATGTAACTATTAATAGAGAACCTCTTCTGCAGAGTATATTATATCATTATATCATTACATCTTACAGCAAACCAAGGACTCTCAACCATTGTGTTCTACTGATGGCACAGCATAGAAAAAAAGACATGAGACATCCACTTGATTTACTCTTTGTTACATGAAATGTCTGATGCTCTTTCATCTTTCATATGAGGTAGGATGCTGTTATCCCAGGTACAATAAGACATTTCTCTATTTGTCTTACAGAAAAAAACATTCTTGCAGTCATTTGGTCTAAACTCACCTAATCTTTAAACAGCCATTTCCCAAACTGTAATATTACATTAACATTAACCATTAAACTCCAAACTTCTGCCCTAAGTTCTGCAATCATCATTCTGTCACTGTCCCAAATACATGGAAGAATCTTTTAGGAAAAAAAGGAAGCAAGACAAACTTCAATTTAACTACTGAAAATCTGCATAAAAATTTATCATAATGAAGACAAATATCTGTATACTCTAGGTCACATTTTGTACCCTACTTGATTCCATCAGACTCAGGACTGCACTCATTTTCCTAGAAGAGTTGGTAATCTGGGGTCATTTTCGCTCTCTGGAAACCATACAATTTTCTTTCCTGACTCTCTCCCAGACTGCTTCCATATACTGCCATGGAACCCAAGTTTTGGTTGGCACCAGAGAACATGGAGCTCCATCCCTTCAATTCTGGAGTTCCCTGGAGCTGGTTTCATTCAGTCACGTATTGGGAGTGATGCTCTTAACACAGGTCAGAACACGGCAATTAAACACACGGCACTTTGACAGCAAGGGAACCATCAGCACACATTTTGGGGAATGTGACAGAAGGGAGAGGTTTTACACAGGGCAGAAGGGGCTGTGGTTCAAGAAGGAAAAGCCCTAATGTTTAGGTGCAGTTCAGTTGAACAGCAGGACCATTTGCATCCCTTTCAAGAACCGCCACTGGGAATACAAACCATGGCAGCGAACTGTGACCAACACCGACAGTGAGAAGCAGAATGGACATGAAAAGGCACATGTTTGGGGGGGGTTATAAACAACAGTTTACCTGTGTGATATCATCCTGCTGGAAGGCACAGAAATTAAAGTGAAAAAGGCTGTAAGAGGGAAACTAGCAGGAAATGAAACAATAGCAAATATAAGGGATTACCACAAAGAACAGACACCCTTGAGAAAACAATTGGAAAGCTAGTAAGTGGGAGTTAAATCATATCTTATTCCATACTACCCTACCTACTAATCTCTACGAGCCTGCAAAAGCTTATTCTTTCTGCAATAAAATGTATTTCAAAAATCTGTAAGGGTTAGTCTTAAATAGTGAAGGTTGTCAGGGGCTCAGCACAGAGTTAATGCAAATTCCACAGGTCAGAAAAAGACACAGGAAGAAAAAGACACAGGAAGAAAATGCAAAGGGCTGAGAAAGCTAGACTAGGTGAAGAAACACTGACAAATACTTTCACAAGGAAACACACATCACTGGTATTATAAGACATCTATAACTAAATAATCAGTCTCAAAATGCTGATGGCAAGTAGGACAGATAATAATAAGAACTGCCAGACAGAAAATGGAGTTGGCCTGTTCAGTCACCAGTACAAACAAGATCAAGTTGCACTCAATGTCATTTCAAAAACTGCAGCTCACACTATGACACAACTCACACACTATGAAACGATTCTCACAAGCAGGTCTCCTAGATAGGCTTTTGGGATTAAATTAATAACCACTGCAGAAGCAACAGACAGAAAATGGTTGCAGACAAGGATAAACAGCAAACACCGCCACTGGTAAACACTAAATACCCAACAGTGTTAAAAAGCTTTGCAAAACTTTGTAGTTATCAATTAATATTACAAACATATTTACTAGGCATAAATAGAAACCCCCCAGCTCTGGAAATGTGAGAGACTCCACCATTTCTGTTGACCTCCTGGAGCTGTTGGATGCTAAGAGCTTTCAGAAATCTCACAGGCAATGAAATACAGATCTAGAATTCATGCTCTTTTAGGAAATCACTAATCTTATGTCTGAAGCTTGGCATTCAAACTATTACACTCATGCAGGTGTCCTCTCATCCTTGGTCAAAAGAAGGCCTTACTTTAGTCTGTGAAACACGTCTGATACCCAAGAGGCCGTTACACAGATCGGAGCATGTGTTAAATGATGTGTAATGTAGTGCACACATTGCACACGGAATTCTCTGTGTTTTAATTGGGCACCTCTAACTTGGAAGGAGTGGAACAGCCTTATTTAAACAGCTCTGATAATAGGACCACTTATTTGGTTATTTGGTTTGCAGTTATGAGGGAAGGATAAAACATCCGGTTGCAGCAGAGCAAACAAGAAAGTTGTATAACACTGTGGTTTTGTACCCAATTCTTATTCAAAACAGAAATTAGTCCTCAGCAGCAAGTTGTTAGCAAGCAGAGAATCAGAAACACAAATGTTAGAAGTACCCCACTTCCAGAAGAGGCAAAAGTTTTTTGAAAAGGTAGGTTTGCTCCCAGGTCCGTGTACTATAGCACTGAGAACTGGACACAGAGAACGCCGCAGGCTGGACACCAGTGACCCCTCTGCTCCTTTCAGCCTGCAGCAAGGCACTGCAGCTGCCTCTTCCCGGCAAGGAAGGCAGTGCTGGGCACGATTACACAGCTCTGTGCCCAGCAAGGTGAAATGAACACCATTAGATAGAGATGAATAAGATTGGAAAACTCATTCTCTTTTTGCCAGACTGAATATCAAGCTCTTCACTGACAGGTCATCTAAAAGTCAGTCACTGAAGTGACGAGAATGATTGGAGTTTATTATTTATGTTCTGAATATTTTGTACATTGAAGTAAGAGCTGATGGAGGAGCCCCAGTTAAGGAGCTGAAGAAACAGCAGGTAAGACCTGTAAATACAATTCTCTAATGAAACAGTTACTCATGTGGTACCATGTGTACATCCTTCTGCCCAAGGTCTGTGAGATTAGGAACTCTTCATCAGTATTCCCAGACATGGGACACTCCCCCCGAACATCAACAGACATTCTCTAGTCTATGTATCCTGCAGCTGATCAGCACTACTGGCCCGTGGAAATGACACTGCTGGGATTCACTGCTCAGCAATTATGACTTATCTAAACCAGCAAGTGCACGACTAGTGCTCTGAGGGAATCTTCTTATCTGGAATCTTTCCCATATCTGCATATAATTACCTCTGCCTTCTACATCATATTTAATAAATGTACTGTATAACTTCAAAATGCATCCTTTGGAGACCCTAAATTCATTATTTTCATTTCAGTCTCTATATATCATTTATAAAAATCTGCTAATTCTTGAGAATAGGAAATAAAAATTTCTAATTGCATATAATTAAATACTGGCACGTTATCTTGAGTAGAAGCTCTTTGCAATACACTCGGGTCTATAATTCTGTCTTCAATTAACTGTCCTCCTCCTGGACAGGTTGCTGTTTTCCTTTTCTGAAACACTGGAATCAGTATCTCCTAAAGGGAAATGTAGCTTCTAACTGTCTGCAAGAATAGAAGGACCATTGTTGACTCTTCTAATTTGTTCCTGATCTTAAAGGGAAATTGCAACACTGCAGGTATTTTGATAAGGCAAACAGATTCAAATTTTTGTGCTCCATTGTTTCCAGTTGCTGTTCCTACAACCATCACAAACCACTAGCTCTGTAGTCTCAGGGGGATTGGTCTGCGACAACGTAATTGTTCTCAAAGTAGTGACCATATTTTAAATAGTCTTAAATATTAAATATACTTATTCTACCAAAAAATGTTTAATAAAAAATGGCATATTTGTTAAAGATGTCAAAAGCTTTCCTGAACCAAAGGTTTACCATTTTATTTGTCGTGGATGTGAAGGGAATATTTACCCAACCATATTTACATTTAGGATCTTTCTATGGATGTACATAATTCGCAATGCACATTTCTAAAGGTACTGTCCTCTGGGCTTTACAGTACCTGTAAGTGAACTTTGTGCCAAAACCCCCTAATATTTAGGTTTTGATGTAATTAGATTAAATAATAATATGTAATAATGTACAATCAATTCTCACTTAATGTGAAGCTTCACCCTGAAGGGTTTATTACTATTTCATCAGCATGTGGGGGTTAAACAATACCAGCAAGATGTTATCCTCATGCAGAGGTGCTTTATGTGAGGTGTTTGAGTAGAAATATTAACTAGAGCCTATTAAGTTAATCACATGCTGAATTATCATTATGACTGATGAAAACAGTAATTAAATGTTACAGCTTGCATGTGTCATCATTACCTTATTTCCTTTACAAAATAACAGATGGTTTTAGGTATCAAATAACATGAACAGCTACTAACAGTGATGGTGATAAAATCAGAACACACTCAATTATATCAGTGCCAGTACTTCTAGGATAAGTACTGTATGAACATATGTGGAGTGGAAGGAGGAGTGGAATAGGTGTAATACTTCATGATTTAGCTTGGCCACAGTGGGCATCATTTCTTGTATTCATTTGTTTAGTTCAGGCAGCTACCTTTTGAAGAATGCAGGGTGCATTTTTGCAGTAGCCATTCATCAGACAAAATGCAAACTGAAACTGCCTTAGGCAACAAATCAAATATCATGGAAGTGACAGTCTGGTTATTAAGAGAGGTTTCTTCACATTACAGAACTTTGATATAATCTCATTTGATTCACATTTATTTCCTGGAGGGGTGAGTACATAGAATAAACAATTCTGGGAAGCTCTGTAATGCAGTGCAGCCTTAAACTGTCTCGTGAAACACGTAACAAATGTTATTTCAATATTTAATTATGGTATTGCTTACTCTTGCACCTTCAGTACAATTGGTATGGGGTTTTTGGCCTGAGCAACACAGTGAGAAAGGTTAAAGTGAAGTGAAAAATTTGGGATACTTTCTGAAACAGTCAAGGTAAATAAGGAACAATCTAGAATAAAATATAAAATAAAATATAAAGCAAAGAAATAGTTTAAAATATTTTGCAGTATTTTTTCCTTAACACTTGAAACCAAAGGTTTGTTAGGTAGAATTGTTTTTAAACCAAAACCCCCTTTTTGAATTCATTGGAAAATTTAATCTGTGCTTACTACTGGAGAGCTTGTGTTTACATTTTTAGGACATTTTTACTACAGATCAGTATGTCAGAAGATAGTAGTTTCCAATAAAACACTGTCAGCTTGCCTGTATGAATCAGACCCTCACTGTATGCAAAACTCAGCAACAAAGCATGTACTCACAGAATCACTGCTGTAGATTTCCTTGAGACTGTATTATACACCTAATTTATGCTGTTAAGCAATAAATTGAAATTGTTTGACATTTGCAAAAATTCACCATCCTAACTGATTAAATTCTGAGCCAAGAACACTAATACAGCACGTGACCCACAGAACTGACGCTCTAATGATAACCCAGCGATGGCCAAGGAGGGTGTTCCCCATTGCCTCTTCTTGCTTTTGCTACAGGAGAGCCTTCATAGCTCTTGAATACTGTAGAACAAGAGTAAAAGCATCAGTAGAATAATTAAAACTTTTTCATCTAAGGGGTGGTATCTCTTGCTGCTGCTTGTCTTAAATTTCCAGCATGGTACAACCGGGCTAAGAGCAGATGCACACATCAGGGAAAAGCGACAGGGAAAAGCACAAATCGAGCATTAACAAGCAAGAAAAAAGGAAGTCGATCAGATTTCTGGGTGCAGTAGAGCAAAAGGGAAATGCAGGTCATGGGACAACAGGCTGAAAATAGTGAAAGAAAAAGAAATCTTCAGGTCAAATCTCAGCCGGTCTAAGTCAGCGTAGCCCCAGGGAAGTTACGCTCACTTAGGCCTGGTAGGAATCTGGCTCAGCAACCTGAAAAAAGAAAGGGAAAAACTGAGAAACAAGAAAAGACTGGGATTGAGCAGAAAGATATATACATATTTCCCTTCTTCTGTGTAGAGGGAAGAAAATTCTTGTCGATGGAGCTGAAAGGGTGGGAGCACGGACAACTAAGCAGGAAGAAAAAAAGCTGGAAGGACAAAGCATGGGAAGCAAAAGCAAATGAACATAATGCCAGGTGGTAAAGAAAGAGTTTAAAAGACGCCAAGAATGAGGTGGCAGAGAGAAAAATAATGTGCTTTTAAGGAATTCGACTTCCTATTGAGATTACTGCTTCTTGCATATGTCCCTCAGAAGCATTTAACATTGGTTTTGGTTCATTGTTATCTATACATTTTTATTCCTCTTACACTGCTAAATACCATTAAATTAAATGGAGGTTAAGATTCCTGGGATATATATGGCTACGGTTCTGGATCACTGCTATCATTTTACATTGGACATATTTTTGAAGTTGTGATGATCTCTTCATCTCCTCATCACCACTGCAAGGTGAAAAAGTTCTTTAGTCAATGGGCATTCTTGCAGCAAATATCATGGAGGGGGAGACTGTATGAAAAGAAAAAATACCCAGAATATGAAAAAAATCCTTTAACATTTAAAGTACGTGTCATCAGCTGAAACGATTTTGTCAATCGTTTGATATCCAAAGTTATTAAATAAGCACCATTTACCAGTCTCTACCAACATGCACAATATGCACACACGGAGTGCTATAAGAAAAAATGCATTTAAGCACTACCTGTAGTCATTATATAGACACATGTGCTTAACTTGCTATATCCATTACTATACGAAGCGAACACCAGATCACACACCAAAGATATTCTTTAACTGAGTTTGTAACCCAGGGACTGGAATACTTGTCCAGAAAGGACAGTCTTATCTCTGTGACTCATGCACTTAAATCAATACCCATGGCACCTACTGTATTTATATTTGTTTATTTATTTATTTATTTTTAAAGCAATCACATGCCTTCATGGCAGGTCATACAACCTTTCTGTGTTGTTTAAGTGGTTTGAAGACAATTTGCTGGGCCAGTCTTCCATCCATGCAAACTTTTAAAATACTTGATGCACAAATGACTGCTATCAGGTTTGTGTGCTTGCCCTCACTTACTAAACAGGATGATTTCCTAGATTAGCCAGCAATAGAGAGAGGTTAGAAGCAGTACAGCTGGACTGCAAAATACAAAGGTTTTAAATTTTTCTTCTTTTTTTGCGTCTCAACATCACATTGAAACCTTGTAAACTACAGTACTCATTTGGGATAGGAAAGCTGTCTTTGTCCACCAAAACAAGAGAGTATCCTGGGATGTAGCTAACTGTGCAGAAGACTAATGATTCTTTTCCCTCTTGTTTTGAACACAAGTGCTATTCTGAAGCTGAATACGTTTTCCTTATGAAAATACTGTTATTGGTACAGGGTTGTGAAAAGTTCCAGCTTTGAACTTATACATCTCATTCTCTAGAATTCTCACATCGAGATAGTAATGAAAACTAATATCTCAGAGCTAAGTAATGGTACTGGATAGTGAGGAAACTGGAGATAATATACAAGTAATGAGAGAAAATTTAATGTGCATATATAACTGCACCTCATTAATAACCTCATTAACAAAAATAACATCTTCCCAATTGCAAAATCCTGATTAAAACCCTCTAATATAATCCATAAACATTTTAAACACAGTAACTATTCATACTGCATACATCTATATGCTATATTATACAGATATATGCAGATAAAAAAATACACCCATGTGCACGCATGTTCTAACAGCACAAAAAGACACACAAATAGGCTTAAGTTTACAAGCAAAGAGTAGGTGCAAATGAATAGAGACAGATAAGGACAATATGTTATGTTGGACAATATCCTGTGCTGTCACTGAAACATACTCACCATTTGCAGAAGATCAGAAGAAACCATCTGCATGCAACACATTGCTGTTGCCAAAGCACAGACAATGGTGGAGATGATATTGAGAGCGCACACACTGAACAACAGGTCCTGCAAGAGACAGGCAGCAGAATATCATCTCTCCACTCAGGGACACGAAGGACACAAAGTTTTTAGGAATGTGATAATAATCACTGTCAACTGCTATCAATTAATGTGGTCTCAAATAACTGTAGAACTCATTTAGCTTGTAATATTTTTTAAAGCAATCTGCAAAGAGAACAGTTACAGAAAAAACTATCTTCCCTCCCCTTCTTTGCTATATTTCCTCAGAAATATTGATATTCAATTTTCCAGTTCCCAGAAAGAAAGGACAAATTACTGCTTTCACAGTGGACTCCAAGCTACAGCCATCACAAGAAAGATACTATGAAGGAGACATCTGATTAAAAACAACACAGAAATGTCATTGTTTTCAGTAGTTGAAATCTACAACTTGGAGTTGTGGGTTAAAAAAAAATCAACTTTAGTATGAAATAGAGACTGTTATCCTGTGTCACATACTTCAGGCACCTGAAACATTTTTAGATTTACAGAAAAGCAGTGATTACACCTGGGCATTCTACCTTCTGCTGATGAATTGAGGGCATATGGCCCATGTTTTTTTAAAAAACCCAAGACATTTAAAATAGAACATATAGCATTTGTTTACTAAGTAGAATAAAATAAAAGAAACATCTGAATTAAAATGGAAACATTTTTTTAGCAATGGCATAATTAAAAACAAACCATTCATCTCTCTTCCAATCACTGGATTTGTATTTACTTTCCCAACAGCCAGTGAAAAGAAACACTGATTTAGCATGCTGACTACATTTCAAAGCTGCTACAATCGTTGTACAGCAATTGCATAGCTGTTGTACTTGTGGCAATTATGTGGCTCAGTTAGTATTCTGAACAGTCAGTAAAAAGCATTTGAGAAAAAGCAGCAGAGGGAACAGATGAAAAACAAAATCAAAATTGTTACAATACCATAAGCAAAAACACTCACCGTGTAAAGAACATTCCATAGGATCTAAGTTAAAAGAGTATTTCAGTCACTGCCACTGCATAAAATAACCTCCATGCTATAAAAATCAATGCACTGCTCGCTTTTTCCCAACAATACTGAAAAAAATGATAGAAAGCTGCAGATTTACTTCTACCACTGTAATTGCATGCTCCTTGAGTGACCTTCATTTGAAGATGAAAATGCCAGCCATGGGAACCAGGCAGGCAATAAATGGGCCAACAAGTTTCGGTCATTTAATAGCTTACACTGAGCCAGATCTGCTCTTGCTGATCTGGTCAGTCTTGTCTTGTTGGCCAGCCCCTCAGCCAGGGAATAATGAATCATCAGCATCAACAGCAAACACTGGAAGGGCCAATCTCTAACTCACATATAGAAGGTGATACAGAGGACTCATTCAAATACAGACCCACTTAGAGCATTCAAATGGAGGTAAAAGGCAAGGTGATCCCTAGAGACTCAGTTAGTTAACCATGGCACAAAAAGAGACCCTACACGTTCATATGTTCATACGCAGACCTACAGAAAGAACACCAAGACAGAGACAAGATCTAGGGTAGAAATAGGACTATTTCCTGGCAGTAAGAAACTTCATTCATTGCTTAATACAGTCATTTAGATCCAAAAGATTTAGATTTAGCTAATCTGAGTGCATAACTTAATACCATTTATGCCAAATAATAAAATCTACATCGAAGCTCCAAATTAGGATCTGAAGTGTCTCCAAGACCCTCATAAAACTTTACAAGCTTTGGGACAGACTCAACTGTGCCTCTAACACTCATGACAGATGTTTCTTTGATCTGTTCCTAAAGATCCTACAGCTTCATCCCACTATTCCAATGATTATCTTTACCATCCGTGTCCTCCTTATGTCCATCTCACAGCTGAAAATCATTGCTCCTTTTCTTCTCTAGCTTTTGAGAGCAGGCTATTACACAGCAGACTTTTATACCTCTAAACTCTATTATAGTTCTTTAAGTCTTTTCCACTTTTACTTCATTACCTATTAACCTCATTTCCTCCAATCCTCAAGTGAAATCACCTTCCTAGGGCTCTGATTGTTTTCATTAATTTCATTTGGTTCACCTCATCTTAGTTCACATTCTTCCTCAAATGCAGAATCCTAAACTGGGCACAACTGAAGGCCTTGCAAATGCTGACTGTAGCATAAGGATTATTTCGAGTGCCTTAAAAGCTACACTCACCCTTACACATCCTGCAGTGGTGAACGAGGTTTTCTGCAACAGCACATCAGTGATTCATCTTTTGTCCAACATAACCCCAGATCCTTTCCTACGGAAATACTACCCTCTTCATCCTGCTACTAGGTAAGAACAGAAGCAACATCATAAAAAAACAACTGTTTTTATCAGAGAAAAGCTAAAAGCAAGGCTCATTTTCAATTACACTTATCTTTCATTTATAAAAATAAGGAATAAACCTAATCCATTTCAAAAGGACAAAATGTCCCCTCATAATTACTTCCTCCCATATTGCAAAGCACAGAGTAAAACCAAGTAATGTTTTCATTTTCAGTTATTTTTCTTTACCAGTAATCCCAGAAAACCTCTCCTGACAGTGTCAGACTGCTTTAATTTTTATTCCCTGCTAACTGTCGTGAAACAAGACATAAAGTAAGACTCTGCAAGCACCCTGAGGTGCAATAGTGTCCCAGGTTGGACACTCACAATGATCACAACTCCTTTGTGGTTTGGGACTTTTCCCTCAGGTCACTGCTCCCTGTTTGCTGTTCAGCATCATTGTTTGGATGCAGGGCAGGGATCACTGTCCACAGGAACAGCCTCTCTCCACACACTCCCTTTTCACACGAAGCATACAAGTTATTGTTCCCAATGCAACCTTTTGGAAGATGAAGATACAACTAGGATGTTTCAAATGCATTGATGCAGAATTTTATGTATCTCAAAGATTCATAGAGAGCAGACATCTATCAGCCAAAATTGTAACAACTGAGCAATGACAGTGGTATCCTTACCATCACTAGATATTTCTTAAAGCAATAGTACTTCTTTATTTGTTTTGGTTTCTTTTCCTAACATCTGTTTCAACTCAAACAAGAATCAACACACAACCAATCCCTTCTCCTCTGTTCCCCACTCCCCCCCACACCCTGCAAACATTATTCAGCCTCAGGCATTTTACCATTTTCAAGGAATTTACTTCCTGTGCCCTGGAGAAAAAATAATTAGGTAATTCATGACACCCATTTATTCAACTATAGATAAAAAATTAGCAGGAACAGGCTTTTAAGATCTAAAGCCCTCCATGGCCAAACACTACCAGAGGGGCAGTGGAGGTGCTTCCACGGATTGCAGCTGAAACACAGTGACAAATGGACACCATGTCCTCTAGGAAATCTCTCTGAAAAAGCAGTAACCACAACAGGGACAATCTTAATTCTCCACAGCACCCGGCCACAGACAGCTACATTTATAGGTGTCTAAAGGAGCAGGAAATCTATACTAAACACAAAATCAAGGAGATTTAGTGACAGATTTTTGATTGACATCTGCAACAACACTAATCAGAAAATACAACACATGAATCTGTAATGGTATGAAATATGATTATTTGCTCCTGAGAACTGGCTGAACCAATCTTCTCTTACATGGAATTTTCTGGGTACTTTTGCATTTTTAAAACAAAAATCTGATTCTTCAGCATGTTTATATGATAATTAATGCTCTGATAGGTATAAGGTACTAGGTAGAATTATTCTTCTACAGGTTACGTATACAATCTTCTTGATACACCTCAACTCTAACTGCAGAGGACACAAATCCCCTCCAGAGTGGAAGCAGCTGTCGGAATTGCCTGGAAGCATGCCTAGATCCATCCAGACACATACCCACTGGAGGCAGACAGCACTGGGAGCTGTTTCTCTGTGGCCAGTTATTTTCCCAAGTAGCTCTCTCAGTAAACCTCAAAAGCTGAATTAAAATTTAATACTGATATGTGAAAAATCAAGATTTCATGGTTGCAGTATTCCTTTCCTATCACAGTTAAACAGTTACTAAATTAACTGTGTCATTATGTTTTCCCTCCATAGTAACAGACACCTTTGACTTATGCTGTGGTTCCAGAGGATACTTGTGATTCTCAAATCTTCTTCACACTATCATTCATTCATATGTCCACCCATAACTTCAGGAGAGAACATCTAGTTTTTCTTTTTCTTTTCCTGATTTAAGCTGTTTTCAGTATTATTTTTTGGACACTATTTCTTTGCTACTGCATCTTAAAGTTCTTCCTTATTAGCAGAATTAAAATAATATATAAATATATAAAAAAATCTGTGTTCTCTAAATGTGCAGCCCAAAAGCCTACAGAATACAATATAATAGGAGCTGTAATACAAAACCCGAGTATATTTGAAAATCTCAATGTTTAATTGAAATACTTTTTTTACTATTTCATATTAAAAAAATGTAATTTTAGGATATAATTAGGTAAGAACATCATATGAAAAAAACCATATTGTAATATAGTTAAAAAGCAGTTTCTCCTTAACACTGATTTTCTTTGTTTTCCATCAAACTGGTGGCTAATAAGGCAGTCAGATGGTATTAAACTGGAATAAGTTAAAAAATTGCTGATTGATTTGTCACTTTGACAACTCAACTGCAGAAACAATCATTTAACAAAGCAATTTAAAACAGCTGTTAGCACCTGATAGAAGCAAAGAAAATCTCTGGAATGAGATAGAATCTAAAATGAAAAATTACAATGGCATGAGTCCTCCATTCATGATGGGAGCAGTGGCAGAGCTGGGTCCTTTATAACCAAAGAACACCCACTGCAAGCGTGTTCACCCCTCTGAAATTTTGCCCTTCAAGACCTAATTTGAACTTCCTGTCACAAAAAATATAAAGCAAAACTGGAATACGATCAATTGGCTCTAATGGTGGGCCATACCCACAGAGTTCCTTCATCTTAGAAAACAAACTTAGAGCTGAATTCTCTCTAAAATCAGGTGCCTTTCAGAAGCATCAAGTAAGCCAAACTAAAACAGGAATCT